CGGAGAACGTTGGTACTCGGAAAGTACTCGACTACAACACTGGGACCAGGCCAATGATTTGAATATGCCCCTCAAATCAGTGATTAATTGTGGATTACTGTTATAATCCTGGCGTCTTTAGACAATGTTATCAGTCCTTTGCTGTATTCTTTTCCAGCCGTTTGTTCACTGTCATGCGAAAACGGAGGAAATTGCGTGGCGCCCGATGTCTGCGATTGTCCTGCCGGATACGCAGGAAATACCTGCGCTGAACGTAAGCACAAATAGTTCCATAGCTCGGGTCTCAAAAGCAGTGCCTCATATTTCTTGTATCAATACAATCGTAATGCAATGTAGTCAAGAAGGACTTTTTTATTTTTTGCAGCGATTTGTTCGTCTCCTTGCCAGAACGGCGGGCTGTGTGTGGCGCCCAGTGTCTGCGAATGTCGCTGCGGTTTCCGTGGGATTACCTGCAACGAAGGTAGGTTTGAGTGGTGGACACAGGCACGGGTGTGGCTAGGATCTTTCCGGGGGGGACACTCCTCAGCAATAAACTTAAAACATTAATAGTGTAATAGAGTTAATTCAAGAAATCTGAGGATTTTCATCTCCTTTGCTCGTTTCCAGTTTCTGTCGCTCTTTTTTAATTCCCCTATTTTCAGGTTTCGTTTTTGCCGGGGGAGGGGAGAGCAATTGCCCCTTCCCTCTTCACGCCCATGGACGGGGGCGTGTTTATACACTGACTTATTCCTTTGCATAATTATTTGGAATCAATGTTGATTGCGCCGATGCTATGCTTTGTGTTAAAATAGTTGCAAAACACGGTTTGTCCAAGGCAAAACGTAAAGTAATACAGCAGATGTTATTCTATATCCTGTTTTAAGATCAGATTAAAGAAATAAAAACTCTTCAATTTGTCAAGCGTGATCCACAAAACTCTAACAGAAACTAATATCCCTTTGGCTAAGGAATGTTTGACAAAAACCTACCCTGTATTCATACTCCGTTTTCGCTGAACAGTAAAAAAGTCATGACTCCATAAGAGAAAAAAAAGGTCATGTTTTTACTGAAATAACAAAAGAGGCTGACGACACAAGCCTGTCACCTCGGGGCCTTTGTAGGAGGAGACCCACGACAGCATTTTAGCTAACTTTAGTGCCTCGGCCTAACGGTTTCGCGAGAATAGTTGACCGTTTCTTAATTAGCGGGCTCTAAAGCGTCCGTATATAGCATTTTGCAATAAAGTGCTTTTGAAAAGAGACATTAATAAAGTATTGAAATTTGCTAAGGCAGCTTTTTTAGGGGGGGGAACTACCTCACATAAAATTATAATTGAAGTGAAGCGTCCAATATCTTGACGATCTGAAAAAAAGAGCTCAATTCTCGTCTACTTTAATTCATAACTTCCAGGCCTGTCCGCCTTGGACGTAGCCGGTGCAATGTGCCTCCGAGGTCACGTGATTGGAACCGTTCCGTCGCCCCAGCCAATCATGTGTGCTTTTGCCTGCCTCCGAAGCACTCGCTGTAAATCCGTGAATTACTACCCGGTTAAACGTTTGTGTGAGCTGAATAAGGAAAGTGCCGACGGTGCGGGCATCGGCGACTGGTTTTACGCTGTGGATTGTGTTTATTACGAGTCATAAAATGTATCGATCGGCTGGCGTGAAGTTTATAAGGCTTCGCAAGCTTAAATATTTCTGCTTGCTTTCATTCTTGTAATCAAACTTTCCAATTAGAAACTAGATAATAAAGAAATATCAAATTTAGTTTTATCGAAGATGCTTTTATGACTGATGTATAACTTTATGTATTGTTTCTGTGAATGAGGTGGCAGTTTCATTCAAATTTCCAGTCATGAGCCGTGAGGGGAACTGTCTGGTACACTTTGACCTTTGTTACAAAAATAGGAAAAGGTCACATGAATAATCATTGGCATAATAATATGATATTGATATGAATAGGAATGAGCTGTAGGGGTGGAAAAATATGGCACAAAATTACCAAGGGATGGATAGGGATAGCATAGGGTCAGAAAGTTTAGTGTGACCGTTGGTATTGGATGAACATGAATATGAAATATCATAAGGTCATAAAATGTGGTACCCATTGACCTTTTCTGTGAAGTTATGGTTGGTCTGACTTAATCATTGGACACTAAACAAGAGAGGGCGGGCACATGCTAATGGTCTTGCGTTGGGCTTACTATGGTTACGGAGATTCTGATCAATATAGGAAGGAGAACGGGCTGGCCCTAGCTAAATTTCTTAATCCTTTGAACTAGTGTTTTTTTTACGTCCGGTTAGTCGGTTACCCTGTACATGTATACAGTTTCTTACAAATTCAAACTGAGCGGAGCATTACTGTTGATCTTTATCGTGAAGTAAATGTTAAATACACCATAATGTAAAATTTATGAATCCTCGTGAGAGGTATGACGACAGTTCGGATTTTTAACACATAGCAAAGAGGTAAATTTACCCATCGTGCTATGGAATAATATGCAGAAGTTCCCGGCCGGTATCCGACCCAAGAATTATCACTCGATAGTCATACGGGTCAGAAAGAACACAAAACCAATTCGGTAGACTTCACATACTGGTTTAAGTACTGTTTTTATTTCTCGTTTTTCATTATTGATTTTTACAGTTATCTAATTTTAAGAGCTACCGCAAGAGTGATTGCCAGAGCTTCATTATATTTTATATCAGACGCACTACATGTACTTATTTCTTTTTTTTCCTTTGACATCATCCACAATTACCTCGTGAGTTTCATTATCCTTCAAATGTAGGTAACTTGACAGAAACTCCTTATAGTTGTCGAGAAAGTCGTGGGTTGAAATTACCCAAGAAATGTCTATGAAAGAGACTTTGGGGCGAATTTCTTATTGTAAACGCTCAGGTGGAGTACCCTGTAAAACATCCTAATCAGGATCCAATCCTGATACAAAATTTTGCTCTCGCTTTATAATAATTACGCGCTTGTTTTTGTATGTGCCGCTTATCGACCTTATCCTTGTTGCTACATGATCGATCCAAAGTCAGAAAACAGTCTGACACAGATACCTACATATCGCTACGTCGCCCTTAGGAAAATATGTATTACAAGTTAGGGGTCGATTAGTGTATTGTGATTAGAAGGATCAGGAGAGAGAAAACTGTCACTTCATATACAGACAATAACAAATTTAATTGCTTTTTTTTGAGAATCAGTTGTGTAATGATAGGATATAATCAGCACTAAAACCATAAAACGAAATGCCCAATTTTCCCTGCCATGCAGCCTTAATCGTCACTGGTTGGTAAGAAGTAGTTCAGTGTTTATAGAATGGAAAGAATCCTGAAGTCGGATTTCATTTTCCCTAAAGTTATAAGATACAAACTTCGTAGTCGTAGGTGATAATCGAACGAACTTATCTCTAGCAACAAGCCTTTATCTGAGTTGGTATTGCACTTGTGTTTCCTGTACACCGTTCCACATAATTGATAAACTGTTGGGAAGGATCATTAAACTAAATTGAATGCAGTAAGATTCTTCTGGAGCAACATCACTTTTCTGTCCGACCATTATGTTAATTATAAACAAACGACGAGAGTGAATGTCGATAGGGTGTCTTATTTCATAAACAGATTAATTCCATCAATTTTGACAAGACTGGTCTTTGTATACAAACCAGTGTAACCATAGAGAAATTGTCTTTGCTATATAGTTTAGGCTACCGCATTCATTGCCATCATTGAAAACGCAATTTCACGTGTCAGCGAAAACAAGAGAAATAACCCCATTACTCCAACTACACTGAGTGCACAGTCGGCAGTAATGGTAAGTGTATCGGTACTCTTTACGTTAATGTTTACTGCTTGCAAGCGTTGATCCAGAGCCACATTCTCTTGGAAACCATGGGGGGGGGCGAGAATTTGTGTAGGCTATGTAACCTTTATAACCTTCTTAAGGCTACGGTTACATTTTGGGGGCTTTTGCATTGGAATGGGCCGGTCCCAAATCATCCTTCGTCGTATTTGAAAACAGCTGACTTTGAGGGGGGGGGCAGCTGGCTCTCGCTTGACTCTCCTTGGAGCCACCATTAGCCCCTTTAAATTGGTAATATGGGGCTAGCGTAAATCAAGCGTATCTAGGCCTATCCTGTATGTCAGTGGCAAATGGAACGGCTTAACCCACAAGCTTTGCGCGTCTGTTGCTGTGACGTACTTCCTTCATGGAATTTTGTACAAGGGATAAGCCCTCGTGAGGGCGATGGCAATTCTTTTCTTCCTTTTACCGCCTGTGCTCTCTTTTTTGATTTTTTTTCTCTCGCTTGAGAAATGAGGGAGGAGGGAGCCACACCCTGACCCTGCCACACCAAAGTGTGAAGGCTGTAATTAAACGCCGGCATGGAGACCAAATAAAGGGTAGCCGTTATTTTGAAAGCAAGAGAGAAGGTAAGGACAAAAAAATAATAGGAGCCTCGTTCTAATTGGTCAAGCTGACGTGATGCTGACAACGATATTTCAACTGAGCAAGTATTCCTGTGTCTGTCGTGGTGCAGGTAAGCAAATATAAAATTACCGTAAATTTGACAATTTTAATATTAGCTGAAATGATCTCCCGATAGTTGACATCTAACCATAGCAATGGAGGATGAAATCTTAAGGCAATAAGATTCGTGACGGCATATATAGGGAGACCTAACTGCCGAACTACATGAAGCCAAAACCGTCCAGTAACGCGTCATACATTCCCACATGTAAGGCTGTAACAACCATTCGGTTCTGGCAGTACAGTGGGAGCCCTATAAACGCACATCTAACCCTGATAAAATCTGTGGCAGCAAAAAACCGACATTCTAAACCTCTTTCCAGCAGACGCGGGACGTAGTTCTAAACCAAAAAAGCCACTGAGAATTTAGGGCATAAACTTCCAGAACTTCGGGAACAAAATTTCCTTGTTCCATGACGTTGTAATGACCCCCCCCCGCATAAAACCTGATTTCTGTCAACTTCGTGTGATTCGGACGAAGGGGAATTTTGAAGTCTTTATTTTGTGCTCCCCCCTCCAAAAACCCACATCTTAGACTTAAAAGAAACAGTTATAATTTTGGAAGCTTTTCTAAGGAAAACGTGAATATGTCTTCAGAACCTCTGAGAAAATGGCAATGAAATTTGTACCCCGTAGGCCTACATTTTTTAATTGGACGCTCACTTTGTTGCCGCCATGGCAATTCATGTAGGCCTACGTGCGCGTGCATGGATAATTGTGAACATGTCAGTGAAAAGGTCCAGCATGTGGACTTCTCCTGCAAGAAGTTTGAAAAGGTCCATGTGCATTTTTTTTTCGGGGAGGCCCACACTATTAATACCACACTTGTTCTGTCTCAAACACTTATACACACCCAATATTGAGTCCTGTTGCAGTATCAAAAGTGTGTGGATCACCACGGTCTCCTCTTTACTCGGGTGAGACAAGAATGACTTTGGTTGGGGGAGGGCTAGTATTAAGGGCTAGGCTTGATAAAATATTGAAATGATAATCTGTGAATGGCCACTCGAGTCGTCCAGCCGAATGATATGAGTTTCCCTTGATAATGTTGCAGCTAGTTGGAAGTGTAGAGAGTGAAAGTTAAATGTGACTGCGACTTTGATTTAATTCACGACAGTCAATTACAGTTAAATCCTCTACCCAAGCCAAAACAGCTTTTAAATCAACGTAAGAGTTTCATTTTTTACATGCCTTGTGTCATTTAAAGCAAGGGGATAAAACCTCGGTTTTATTTAAAGTGTAGGCCTTGCTGCAATGAATTTTTCTTCGACGCGATCTTTTTTCATCTTTGTTTTTTCTTTAATGTATGGAAACTCTTACACTCTCCTATAACAGTTAAATGCATCGAAAAGTGCACACTTTTAAGCAAACAAAATTATCCATGTTTTCCTGGAAAACTGAGGGCGCTGTTGCTGTAAATCATCTAGGAAAGCCACGGTTCAGTGCATAGGTATTTCTGTTCAAATTGTGAACCCAGCATTTACTAACTGAAAAATATTTCTGAAAGAGGGATTGATGGTCTCTTCCTGCTATGCTCACAACCAACAATAAATCAGCAAAGAAGAGAAAACTTTTACAAAAATGCAGGATTTTTTTGTGTACAAATCAATGTAACATTGAGGCTTCATGACATCACAGTTTTGCTCGTGAATATGGAAATCTTATTTGAATTAAAACCAAACAGGCATTAAAATACCGTTTGAAATAGTGAAACCAAAAAAAGTTGAAAATTAGGATCACTGAGGCACAAAGGCGGTTTGTAATCAAAAACATTGATTGCAGCTACCCTTTAACCTCTTGGTGGTCTAGTCGAGTCCATCACAAGTCCTTCCACAAGTCCAGTCACAAGCCTTTTGACAAGATCAGTCATACGTAGCGGGATGAACAATGAAACAGGAATGCTTTTGTAACCGTTCATTTGATGAATACCTTGTGACTTGACTCAAGACTGAATGACTTGTGCTGGACGTACAGGGACTGCAACACTGATAGCTCTACTGTTTACAAGCTTTGTGTGCGTCATGCTGTTGCCTTCAAATTAACAATTTTGAAATCCTGCCACGTTCTTAAATTCTTAAATTTACAAGGTGTCACACACGACTGCTGCCTCGGCTGGAGAAGAGATGCATTGCCTCATAGGTAAGGTGAAAAACCACCCAAGTCTTGTGTAGTAAGACTCATGAAAACGTATGCCCGTAAGAACGTAACCGAAAACAGGGGAGTGCATTAATAGTGGTTGACTAGGGAGGGGAAGCCACCTTCAAAGAATGCTGAAGAGAGATCAAGATAGGTGACTGTTTTACACAGGCATACATGACGCTGAACTATGGTGGATGTGGGGCTGATAGCTAATGCAATGGGTACGACCCTTTCTCGCGTCAAGATGATCGACGGAAATTGTATAAACGACAGTGCACCACAAACACAGTCCAACTGTAAAATTTACAGTCTGTCCATGAAAGGACAGGGTGCCTGGAACTCGGGCTGAGAGACCACTGGAAGACCGAAATTTATGAACGATATCGGGAGTGTGTAGTCAGACGCCGACGTTAGACTAACCCCCGTTTTGTATTTTTTGGCAACGATTTTTTCGGATACCTACTACATGTACATGTATAATGGCGGATTGCGCGTCAGCCAATGTCCTTCAGTGTGCTGACGATTACACGGGGACTGCCTTACTGAACGTAAATTTGGGGAAACGTTCCAATGTTTTCTCACAGGGGAGCAGAAAAGCACTACCAAGCAAGAAGACCAATGATAGATGTCCTTCTTTTAAACGAAACTTCTAAAGGAGTCACTTTCATCCTAACCCACATAAGTACTTTGCAAATGTGCACCACTGATTTCACATCAAGAAGTAAAATTGAGTGTTTGTCACTGTCCTGCGAAAACGGAGGGCACTGCGTCGCCCGATGTCAGCGATTTTCTCAGTTACGCGGGGAATACCCGCGATGAACGCAAGTTGGGGAGAGACCAGGCCAATATTTCCACGAGCCGGGTCTTAAAGCCCGAGGCCTCATTTAGTGGTGTTGTTAATAAGTACTTCGTGGTATTTTGTCTAGGTTCTGCGATTTGTTTACTCCCTTGCGAGAACGGTGAGCAGTGTTGGTGCAAAATGTCTGCGAATGTCGCCGCGGTTTCAATGGGCCTCCGTGCAGCGATGGTAAGTTTAAATTTGGGGCCCATGACCATGGGCTTAGCCAGCTTTCTTTTAGAGGGGGTTGGGAAAACCACTCATCACCCTCAAACTGACAAACCAAGAGCCCAACTTTGAAGTATTCAAGCCAATTGGCTATTTTCATTTCACTTTCTCTCCCATTCCATTTTTCTCCCATTTCTTTTCCGGTACCCCTTGTTTCGTAGATTAATAGACCACATTCATGTGTCCACCATCTTGAATTGAAAAGGGGTTAACGTTTCATTTTGAGAATCTGAGGGTAAAAATTACAGCAACGAAATAAAAGTTCATTACAAATAAGTGTCAGTTTGAGTTCGGAATTATTTAAAATTTGTGATAAGTATCTATAAATGTTTTAAAAGTCACTTTTAAAAAATGAAATAGAGGCTTGGAACACCGAATAGTCTGGCATCAGCTCATTTTACATGAAACACGAATAAGGTAGATTCAGGGAACAAGGTCGAAATGGTTCCCCAATAAAACGACTACCAATCAGATCAACTGACGGGCGTGTCTTTATTGATATCCATATTGATGGTGCTGATACTGTGCTTAGTGTTGTATAAATTTACACAACGCATGGTTTCCAAGGAAACTACAAACTATAAGCCGACTTATAATTAGATGAATATCAATCTAACAGATCCTGTTTTAAAACACGCAGCGCCTTCACTGGAATTTCCATGCTGGTTTCACAAAATGGAAATAGAAATTTCATCCCCAGGGCCAAGGGACGTTCAAGAAAGGTCTACCTGCCATTTTACAGTTTTCAGAGACAAATATTACAGTAAACGAGCACCGGGACGCCATAAAACGGAAAAGGCATTTTACTTTTATTTAACAAAATTGTTAAAGACCATCGCTGCTCAATGACAGTGATGATCCGTGGACAACAGATACAGCGGCTCCCAACGACTCCCATGACTGCATTTTGGTTAATTGGGCGACATGGTCGAACGATTTCGTAAAAACTGTCGTCTTCATTCATTTGCGGGTCATGGAGCCTCTATGGACGGAGATTTTCAGCAAAGTGTTTTTGAGAGGAAACAGGACAAAAGTATCCAAGTTCGCTGAGGCTGTTTTGTTTTGGGGAAACCGTATCTCTTATAAACTGACAGTAATATGACGTCTTAATAACCTGAAGTGAACATAATCCATCTCATCATCTAAATCATCTCATCAAACATTAGTCGCTGAAATGAAATTCCAGACCTGTCTGTTCACGCTGCATGTAGCCAACGCAAAGTGCCTCTGAGTTCACGTGATCGGAACCGCCCTGTCGCCCAAACAAATGAAGTGTGCTTTAGCTTTTATCCAAACCATCCGCTGTAAATCTAGAAATTATTATCCTGTTTAGCGCTGTGGACTTTATTATCAGTCAGGAAAGCACCAATAGGCAAGCGTGTACATTGTATTTAGTCTGTGTAAAAATGGCGTTAGCAAACGAATTCTATTGTCTTTGACAGTTGACGACGCATCGTAGTCAGTTGTGCCTCCATCACAGCAATTGATGACATCAAGCCCCACAGCAAAAGTGGTAAGTACAGAATGTGACAAATTTGGGAGTGTTACACAGCTGAATTAAAATTGTGAAGAAAAATTACACTACTGTTGAAATGCCGGAAATGCCTTTGGATTTAATGCTATCTATATAATGTCTTGAACAATTGAAGACGTCTGCATGCTGATTGTTGCTGTTGGGAAACAAGCATTTATCTGTTTCTCTTTATCTCTGCTTTCCAGAGAGGAAAGCACGTTTTAGGGAGTTAGTAAAATACTGGTAGGCCTATTCAGTCCCATCCTTTACAGAACTAAAATTGCTCGGATTAAAACCACGGAAGAAGTTAAAGAAAAATACAACAAAATAGTATTCCTTCGATAGCCAAAGTCTTCAGGATCATTGATCTCGATTTATTTAGACGCGGCATCTTTAGATTCATGTTGGACATTCATACTAAAACCTTTGAATGATAAAAGTGGGATATCAGTCATGTGTTCCATCTTTGGCAATGTGACAGGGATTTTTCGGGAAACGGCAGTTGGCGTGGCGCTGGAATCTACATTTTTTCCATAAAAGTTGTTCCCTTGTTTTTTTTGTAAGACAGGCGCGTTCTTGAAATTGCAGAACCCACGTCAGTTAAAAACGAAGGAGATTTTACATGGAATATATAATTGTCTGCCACTGCCTGTGTTATTTTTTTAAGTTGGGAACAACAAGGGACGATAATTAGACCTTTTTACAGGTTCTACAAGCGGCATGTCGGGGCAAGATCAAGTATTTTTCAGGCCCTAGACATCACTCATGATCCTTAGACTGATCCATTGACTGTACCCCGCCCTGTAGCTGCTTAGTGCTGGAGCGTAGCATTTCATGCGCTAAGCTTGTGGAAGCTATGAACAGTATACATTTAGTTCGAAGCTCTCACACAATCGAAAATCTAAAGAGAGAAAGTTTTCTTGTGCGTGTCGGGGTGTTGGTGGTTTTGTTTTATGACATGGCAACCGTACTTTCGTAGGCCCTCAAACGTTGCGATTACCCTTGACTTCTTTGCTGGCTATGAACAGCGCCTGCTGTATGCCTATATTGGATAATCAGGCCTCGGGAAAAATCTGCACTCCCCCCTTAATCCGTTGGTGTGTAGCACTTTGAAGTCGGTATATTTCATATGTACCTCCTTCAGAGAGATGATGCTGCCAGCTTGGCTGCGTCGAATGGTAGCGTTTCTCGTCATTCTAGACGCCCTTTCCGAGAGCCAATTTCACAGACAGTGAGTATAATGTGGATATCAATTTTCACGCACAAGAAAGAAGTAAAATGCAAAACAGAAGGATCATGTGTTTGTTTCCAGTTTGTGTGAATTGTTTTAACACTATTGAACTGCTCACAGCAGACAAGTTGGAGACGTTGTTACTTTCGGTATGAAGAAATTACTACGAAACTAGCGTCAAATTTTAAAAGTATAGCCACTCAAGAATATCAAAGGCAGATTCAATGGATTTTAAAAATAAAGACCTCTAAATGCACTTTTGTGACTCATTTAGCCTCATTTTCTATTTAATGTTTCACTGAAGAGTGTTTTGACGCATTTTGAGTTTTGTGCTAATAAGTATTGCCATTATCAATGAGGAAAACTGTGAACTCATCCCAGGTACACCGGTGACTTTGTTTGAAAAAAAAAACTGAATTTTTTAGACTTTGCTTGGCAATATTCTCTCTTCGGTAATTCACTGTTGTGTGCTTACAGCAGTAAGCAAGCAATGATTCCTTTCTTTAGTGTTTTCCGGTGCATAAATTCTAGGTTGACAACTTGAACAGAAACACCTGTACACCGAACCATGTCTTCCCCGGATGAAATCAGGGCAAGAACGCCCTCAGTTGTCTAGGAAAGCATGGACAGTTTTAAATGTTTAAAAAGAGCATTTGTCAACGCATTTAATCAATTAGAAATGTCAAGTAGTTTTCATACACTCAGTGGAATAAAACTGCAGAATAATCATGTCTAAGCAAAATCTATCGCAGCAAAGTTTGACAAAGTTGCGAGCTAAGAACAGAATTATGAGCAAAGGCCAAAAAAATTAAAAAGATGCAAAAACAAAAATTAATGAAAAGATTTTCGACATCTTTGTTCCTGAATAGAGATGTACATCCAACACCAGTTCTGATAAAAACACGAGATCACATTTTGTATGAAGCTCAGTTTAACGTAACAAGTATCATTCTTATCCAGGAAGCTCGATCTTACGACAATTCTGTCTCACGCAGCCGGCTGATGTAGTACTGAAAAGCGAAATTCGCCTTTAGTCATTCATCTGATTAACTCGATCACCCGATTTTTGTGGTGAGAAATTCAACATTAATGTGTGCATTGTTTGTCAAATGTATGTCAGATCATTTGCCATCATTTTATTGAAAAACAAGTTTTTTTTCATATAAACGTACCCAATCTATTCCTCTTTTAATTCGGGGTTCAGTTTCAGTGGGATTTCTCAAAATTATATTATTTTGCTGTGTGCTGAATTTTACAAAATGGACAAGCACAATATCTGTGTTCTGGATCGTTCCAAAATAATGCTCTACAAAATATTATTTGTTTTAGTTTATTGTAACTTATATCGAAATCAATCCGAAACTTTGGACACTGTCAATATCCTCATTTTTTATCTACATCCTGGCTACATATCTGAAGAGACATGCATCTTGTACTTGGTTATTTAAATGGCAGGCTCGTTAACACCCGATAAATTCAATTATGTTTCTAGTTCCAATCTGACCGCATACGAGACAAAATGTCATCATATTAGACAGAATTGGTATGTTGTTTTCCTGAATTAGACGTGATGCAAATACGAAATCTCTTAGGATGGGAATTGTAAACAGTGATTTTTGTTTTTGAAAATCTACGGAGAAGAAGCAGTTAGAAAGATGAATTTCCTTCATTTCCAGTGCATGTGAAAAGCCTGAATCGAAGCACCTCTGCGTTCTATATAAAATGCAAGCGCGAAATTAACCTGAAACCCCTTGCGCCGATGAAAAATGAACACAAGTGATTAAATGCGCCGTGAACAGCAGTCGTGAAATGAAACTATTTTGACTGAGTGTTATGAAGTTGAGTGAAACTTATAAGTACATGTATATGTATGTATTTTCATGGTAAACTTTAAATTCAACAAATTCTTTGAATGCCTCTGTTATGCACCGATAATTCTCAGGTTTGGGGGCATTTTAATGAGACTGATACAGGAATTTTCAATGTGTCATTCTCAATTATTTACCTATTGATTTACATATTAACATTTCCTATTTCCTACTCAGAAATACATGCCCTCGAAGTTACTACGTCCGACGAACAACATCGGCATCGGAGTATTACACGGAATCTTGCGGTTTTTGGGGTTGGTCCCGATGTGGACGTACCAGGTGAGAAAAGATTCTGTCAGATTATGTCTATTAGTGTGCAATTTAACCTTTGATCTAAAAAAAAGTGTTACCTTGCCTTATTTTTAGGTAAAACTGGTGTTCAGCAGAATGATCCGGACTTTGGGGTCGCAACTGGAGTTCATAAAGCTGCAGTTTAGTTCAGTGATACAAGACCATTCCGCAACCCTGCGCTGCAAAGGGCCTATTTTTTATGCTCGTTGCTCCAAGGTGATATCTTTGAGGTCACTTCCTTATAACACTTCCCAAATACACAATTCCTTCTACTGGCATTTAAATTGATCACAGGGTGTCCCCAAGTGCCTACAAATAAAAAACCCGCACAAGAAAAGGTGAGAGGGTCACGGTACCCTTTTTCCAGTCGGGGGGGGGTTCCACCACAGTCAACAACAATTTGACAACCCCCCCCCCAACACAGTGAAACTACTCAGACAGCTGTCTAGACAGCTCAGAGACACATCAGAGAGACGGACTCTTGATATAAGACAGGCCCAGATATTTACATACAATCCCTAAGGGACTTGGCCAGAGGCTGGCTCTGGAAAAGAATTATTCAGCTCAGGGGAAGTACGCATGTTGAAGGTGACTAAACTAGGCTGTTCAGCATCTACAGAGGTTCAAATTAACAGGAGGTTTTTGCATTTGGCCGAAAAAAATTTGACCCCCAGTATAGTAATTCTGCGCGCCGCAAAGATAATAAAGAGGTGGTCATGCATGTCTTTGCCAATCGGTCATTCCATGAGAAGTTCAAGTGTGGAGACCCGTTGATTCAGTGGTGTAAGTTTGGTGGGGGACCACTGCAACCTTGCTCCCAGGGTGTAACCCTCATGGCTATTGGCTGTCTCACCATGGGAAGGATCATTCGCGTTATTGCTCGACTATGTTGACGGAATAGTCTGGTGATTGTCATCAGTGTTGGCTTAGGTACGCCGTGTCTGGCATAAGACATTGAATTCTTTGGAAGTAGCAAATCTAAAATCTAATTTCTAAAGTTCTAAAATGTAAAGTTCTAATTTTTTTAAATCTGCAGCTGATATTCCAGTGCTATATCAGTGTAATCAAAATACACAAGTTTCAACACCAAGTGTAAGCATCAAACGCACAATAAAAATGCGTCATTTTCCTTTATAGCTATTGTTCCATCGAATTACACGAAAGAATATTGTGCGTGGATCACCCTGGTCTTTTATTTTGCCTTAGAATGTCCCAAAATTCAATGGATAATATCGTTAACTTCGATTGTGCATTTTTGTCTTTGGACTTGGAGCCGTGTATAATTATCAGTTGTTTAAGCTTGCTTCGGTGATGTACATGTACAATTCAACAACGTCCAGAAGCATGTTTCATTAAATACGGGCGATTCACAGTAGTGCGCCTCCTAGAGTTTGCAACGCGTTGGCCTGTCACAACGCGTGAAATCTGTCGACCCTTCCCAAATGCGCGTTGGGTCGATGGATTTCGTACATTGCGATTGGCCAACACGTTGCAAACTCTTGGAGGTGCACTATTATGAATGACCCATATTGAACTAAGAATGCTGGAAACAACATTAGTTTTGATCCCGCAAAAGGTTAATTGCACTGGCCTTATCAGCTTGGCTTGATTCAACCCTTTTGATCAGTAAAGAACACAAAACTCTTTTTATCATTGTGAACATATTGGAAGGAAACGTGAACGAGAATAAGAAGTATAAGAAGCGTCCGTATTACATCTGTCAATTTTTGGGAGTCTTGAGTTTTTACCTTTGAAATTCATTCACTGGACAATCACATCAAAAGCACAAGTTCAAGCGATGGTAGTGTGAACAATTATATTATACCTTTGAATGATCTGTCCAAACAAGATATTTTTGTGAGGAGCGTGTTTTATAGCCCAAAAGGGCGCAATCGAGTACGCTACCTCTCAATAATCGAAGGGAAATGAGCTAGGAACAACAATATATTTTTTCTCCTTTTTTTTTCCTTACGCCGTTTGAAGTAAGGACATGAAACCTCAGCCTTGCCTACCTGGACAGACTCCACTGTAACTTATCCTTTGTATTGATACCCTCAAATAACAATTCAGAGATTCACGCACATTCTTCAACTCTTAACCTTTATTAGGTATCACATACGGTACCGCTCCGCTCCAAGGACGGCGTATGCCTGTTGTCTGGGCTGGAGAAGAGATGCCAGCAACCGCAGCCTGAGAGGTAAGGTGAAAACTACCTCAGGCTTATGTAGTGGGTTTAATGAAAAAAAAATTACCAAATGCCCATGAGGAATGGGAATGCATCCAAAAATAAGTGAGGGAATAAAGGGGGAAGGAATGCCGTTGCGCGGGACCTATCTTTAGTAATAAATTCTGAAGGGGAATGGAGTAAGGCGATTGCTTAGCGAACATACGTAGCACAGAACCATAAATGCATGCGTACTGGGCTGATAGCCGAGGTAAGGGGTTCTTTCCCGCGCCAATATATGGTACACATAGCAACACATTGGAAGTTCAAGACTACATGCGTACCAGCCTACGTGCACTGAGGCTTCCAGTACACTTTTAGCTGACCTGTAGGTTCGCTTTTCGCAAACTTGGTGTCAAAATGACTGCAAAGAATTACTTTATAAATAAATACATGGGCTAAGCTCTTGAAAAAAATGCACTGCACCGATACAGTAAAAAGATATTTACTCGATTTTCTGGCAGAGACTTGTTCACCTCGCACAAACGGCGGGCAGTGTGTGGCAGCGAATGTCTACGGTTTCCGTGGGATCGCCGGCAGCAAAGGTGGGCTTGAGTAGTTGGCACAGGCGTAGCTCTAGCCAGAGTTTTAGTATGTTAACGGTGGAGGGGTGTACATTTCAAGCAACACTGATTTTCGTCTCCTATCCTCTTTCTCGTGTCTGTCCCTTTTTTTGGGGGGGGACTGGGCAGGTGCCCTCTTTTCCCCTCTCGTGACACCCATAGACACGGGGTCTTTAGAAACCGACACAGGTGCCTTGAACGAATGACACCAATGTTTTACTTTGCCGTGCGTCTGTGTTGCAGTAGTCAAATAACACAATTTTTCAGGGTAATGTCATACAAAACAGATCTCTATTCCAGATCTGATTTGTTCAAAACAGAAAGCATTGGAAGTCCTGGTTCTATTAAACCAAAGCTGATAGTACCTCCCCATAATCAAGGGAAGTTCGATAAAGTCATAGCCACTATTTTATACGGATTTCAACGGATATGACGATAATGAACGACGTAACGCCCAAAGTATTTTTTGGCGTTAACACCAATCCCATAATGACTGTGGGCTTTGGTGCAGACGAGTAACAATTCGTCCGACACCAATTCAGCTACATTGAGTTACCTGGTCTAACGATTTTGCGATTACAGCATACTACCCTTTTCATTATTAATTTGCGGGCACTAGAGCCTCAGTACGTAGAACTTTGCAGCAGAGTAACTTTTGAGAAAAAGGTAGGAGCAAAGTTTTCAAGGTTGTATTCAGGAAAGCAGCGCTTACGGCAGTAAAGCGCCATGAAAAAGCGCCAATTTAAAGTGAAAAAGTCTACTCTCAGCTACTTAAAACTCAGTTGCTAACATGGTATATTGGTGAACTCTTTATAATTTCCAGGCCTGTCCTCACTGTACGTAGCCGGTGAGAAGTGCCTCCCAGGTCACGTGATTGGAACCGTCCTGACGTCCCAGACAATCACGTGTGCTTTTGCCTGCCTCCGAAACACCCGCTGTACATCCATGAATTACGACCCGGTTGAGCGTTTGTGTGAGCTGAATGGGATTAATGCCGACGGTGAGGTTGCCAGTAACTAGTTTGACGCTGTGGATTGTGATTTACCAGTACCAAAATGCGTCGATCGGCAGGCATGTAGCTCATAAGCTCTGTAAGTTGATCTAATTGTTTGTTTTCTTTCTTGAAATTGAAACTTTTTAAGAAAGTGAAATTAAATGGAAAATGTTACATTCGATTGTGACGGTATATGTTCATACGATTGACATGTATTATTTTTGTGTGTAAGTCGGTGTATTCATTCATTATTCCAGTCATTGTAAATTAGCTGAGCAATATTAATATGCCACTGAGTTAATAGCTCTTCGTTGCTACGCAACAGTTGATCATTAAGGGATGCATGGGGAGGTTTAAACTCTGTTGGGCCGCTGAAATAAAAACATCTCTCTCGTGGCAAATCTGAATTTATTCCTCCCGTCCGCTTTGCATGCCGACGAAGTTCACTTCAAAGTTATGTAACCTGAGTTACCTCACGATCGATTCTTTCAGGTGCAACAAAAATTGACTTGTTTCCCATGGTCACTCTGGAAGGTGTTTTATAATATTTGTAATTTCTCCCCATAAATTGGAGAAATTAGCCAAAATTGCTTTGCGTTAACTAGATCCACTCAGTCTGCCGATGTTGCCATGGTGAAGTGAGCGCCGCTATACTGCAACCAATTTCACGGTTCTGTGAAATGGCACAAAGGAAGTCGGCCATCGAAGTACGGTGTATATCATTTGCCCAAAACCACAACAATGCAAGTGTATTTTTCGTATTTTAAGGGACATTATAATATCAGCATTTTAAATACCTTCCCCTGGTTCTGGGGGCTAGAAACCGAAAGATTAAACTGTACTGCTTTAACAGTCACTGTCAACTACAACTGAAACCAGTACGGTAAAATGACCCTTGAAATCGACAGTATGACATACTGGGCACAAATCCTGATAAAAATTCCACTTCGTGGTTATGTGCGCTTGCACATCGTATGATTGTATTTATCCTCCCTACAACATAATTGACCCAAACTAAGTGACCAACTAGTTTGATTTTTTTGGAATTACTGCTATGCTGGCGAAAAAGAGGATCTGATTTCTACTTGCACATTTCTTAAAAAGCAAATTATTTGCAAATTATTTTGAATTGCCCTATGCCCTTGGTTCCCGAAATCGTGAGGCTATGCTCTCCTGAATATAAACACAAGTACGCTTTGAATAATAATATTTTGAGGAATTGTGTGCGATTCCAATCAAAAATGCTTTTGTGATTTGAGTAGATACGCATATAAAAGAAGTGTGATTTAACTAAATTTCTTACACTGGAGTTGGGTGAGAGAGTACTGAACCCTTTCGGATCTCGACTGTCTGACATTATTTTGTGACATTGCGCTGATAACAGAATTTCCCAAATACCCCTCGGCGTTACCATCTGTAGGTATCAACCACAGACACGTAGACAATAGCCAGATGATAATCACCCATTTCTCTTTATTGAATGCAAAAGTGGAGCAGTTGTGCAAGCTCCAAGAGGGCGCTCTGAAACCACTTTAGGGATCGATTAAACGTGGTGAGCAGAACTAAATGACCAGTGCCAAGTTCTCTTATGATTACAGCTGTGGTTGGGCAAATCCAATCAGTGTTGAGTATCAAAAACATGTTTCCGTTTTCCACATTTTCTCGGATCTTATCCCAGTCTAGTAGGTGATTTTTTTTCTAGTAGGATGTAAGTCTTATACTTACGATTGGATATGATACATGTATGTAGAATATGATATATGTAAGTCTTTAGCCTCTGTGACCTGCGTCAAAACAACTGGTTACAATTTGATCAACCCAAAATGCTAATTGTACAATGCAAACTGTGTGCAATAAACCGCGGCATGTGCCTCTATCTTTTTCACAAACCATTTCCCTTAAACATCGCAATGTTTGGTTGTTCATTCGCAAGTTGGACACACGACTCCGTGCAGTGTTTTGAAAGATAATACTTCACAGTGTGCGTTTGCTAGGGGAGATTAAAGTGTCCATCAAAGAAAGAAATAAAACATGTATAATTTCAGCTTTTGATAATTTCAGAAAAAAATTTAGTTTTCAAAATTGACGGTATTCAAGTGAAAAACTAAAACCTCAAAACTCTGAATGTGTAATATATGTTGCTCAATGCTATCTTCTACAATGTGATGCTGCGATTATTTATCTTAGATCATTTCCTTTACTTAGTTGGGCCATCAAATGTAAAGGTGTACAAATCAATACATTGTATATATCAACATTTTGAGGTGTTCAATTTCTGCTGACGCATTAGAGTCTTGGTATCGCACTATGCTTGTAATGTTAACATGTAATCTTGTACAAACAGCGACTTTAAAAAGACTACCTCATCAGAGGCTGATAGTGCTTAGTAATTCACAAATCTTTAGTCCATCAATCCTTTCCAGTGCATTTTCTCTCCAAAGAAATGCGGAGAAAAAAAGGTGTTCTATTGCTAAAGATGTTATTCTGACGGGAGAACGCCAACCCGTACCCGTCAAGTTACTGTTTCCAGGAAAAAAGAATTCTGCTTGACAGAAACACATTTTTGACTACTGCAAAGAATTCTCAGATTTAAAAACTATGAAGCGTTCTTTTACAAGTACTTTATTGCATTGAGAAGTATATATTTATTTCTAAGTTGCTTGGATACTTTTCTGATTTAGACCAAAAGAAAGTGATGTCGGCCCGAAGTAGTATTTGTGAAATTATTTAGAGTAGACTGAATAAAGGCCAGACTTTGCCAGTTTTCAATAAAAATGTATTAACCCTTTTCCCTTTTCTTGAATTCGGCTAATTTCACTGAAGGTGCCTCGGGGAATCCCCAAAGTGCACTATTCTTTTAATTGGGATTTTTCCCAGGTAAATGTTCACTAAATTTTTTTAAGGAAACTAAAGAAAACCCCCTCAAAGGAAACGTTACGAATTATGCAGTACCAAATTCAGACAGAAAAAAACACTTTGAGGATTTTACCGAAGACCTATACACCCTTTCCCACAGTCGCGAGACTGCTCCCTGCCTTGTATTAATTAACCGGTCGGGTTTTAAAAATCTTTTTTAAATGCAACCAGTTCCCCGGGGACAGAGGCGGTGTTATGGGACCCATTCGGGCATGTTCGTCCAGGCGTCATAGGGCGTGGTTTATTTTTCCCAAGTACAACATGCCCGTTTCTTTGAGTCGACTCTGTCCGACGTTGGTGGGGCACTGGGGTTGTATAGAATCCAGGGTTCCGGTTGTATTACTAAGTATGAAGCACCGCTTTATATATTTAAAATTCGAAAGCTCAACACGAAGTGCCGGTGGCCAGGGAGGTAAGGCCTGAAACTTCTGTTCCTGCGACCCGGGTTCGAATCCCAGAGGTTCTTTTTACATTTTAAACCTCTTTGCCGAGTCTCATAGATAAATATATAGGAAGAGCTTTAGTCTTTCGGGGACCCAAACAGCGGTGGTGGTAGAGGTGCTGCCCGCTGGTCAGAGGGCCCCAGGTTCGAGTCCGGCTCGGGACGACGGCCGAAGCAGGGAAACCTGCGGTAGGTCCGAGTTCCGTGGCGGGTGTCTAGGGAACAAGATAAAATAAAATAAAATAAAATGGAACTTTTACACTTTTTTACTATTAAAATCCAAGTAAAAAGAAGTAAAAGGGTCTCACAGCTCCTCTGGATCAGGGGAGGGAATCGAACCCCGGACCTTACGCTTGAGCGTTAGGGTGCCTACCACTAGGCCAACACGCTCTCCTTACTTAAAGTGTTCGGATGTAATATATAAAGATTCTGGCCAGATTGCGCAATAAAAAAAAATGAAGTCGCCGCGCACGCGCATAAAGAAAGATCTTGCGCAATGGTTTAAGTCAGCGTACATGCGAAGTTGTTTCGTGATCTAGCTGCATGTATCGTGATTTAGCTAAATGCAGCTAAGTTGGCGCGCATGCTCTCTTCTAGTGCTCATATTCTATAAACAATTGATGGCGCTCTCCTGGGCTTGAAAACTCAATTCTGGCAGAATTGTCTTGGTTGCAGCTTGCAGTTAAGATGGCGCGTACTGACGAGCTCACTCTATTAGTCTTGAATATCAGTGAAGTAAAAAAATCGCATATAGGTAGCGCTCGGTGGTGGGATTACGCGGCTAATGAATCCACGTCGGTTAGTAAAAATGTTTAGACTGTCAGGGCAGCGGCTCCTGCATGCAAAGCAAAAACAGCTAAAAGATTTGCGACAAATTTATCAACAAATCCGAGAGAACCGGAGAGATTGCTCAAATTGCCTCACACCTTATTTCAGAATCAACGTAATGCAATTTAGTTCCCAGACAAACAATTCCCAGCAGCTTTAAAATACAGTTCAGTTAACATGAAACACTTTATAACAACTTTTTGATTAATGTTAAGTGGAAAAAATGCCATAATTCTGCAAATGTACATTATGTACATTAACGATATCTTTTCCGCACTGCGTCTTCTAAAATTGATTTACGCATGATACAATGCTTAAGTTGTTCAATCATGGGCTGAAATATTGTCAGTGTGCAGATATCAACCAAACCGAACAAAGTTTTCTGTTTTTCTTTATCCACAAGAAATATTTTTTAAAGTAGTTGGCATAACTACACTAGTTACGGAAAAACTGTTGCTAACCTTAAACGGTTGACCGATTGCGACACGTGTTTCATGTTTTCGAGCAAGCACAACTGCAGGTCATATGGTTCCGATGGGCGGGTATTTTCCCTGAGAAGTTTTCAAAACCAATAAAGTCGTCAAAGTTACCTTTAACTTCTGTATAGTCTTCTCACGCTGAAACGCTAGATAGTACGACTTCGTCGCAAAATAATTCACGCACCGTGTAAATGTAGGACAGTACTGTACGTAAGAAACATGCACGTCTTGCATTTAGCAGGGTACCCTTCCTCACACAAAGAAAAATGTATATAAAATGACTGGCAAAGTACCCTTGCGTCTGGATACCACGTTCCATTTGTTTACGCATATAATGCGGCACTGCATGAAGCAAGCTGTACACACAGGTTTGAATAACTTGTTGGCGCTTTGCTGACGCACGTTGGCGCTTGTTTTTGTTGACACTATGGC